GGTTTTACAGCATTAAAACATCTATAATTGTAAAAGAAATAAAGTTGGGTACTTCGGATTTCACCTATCGCAGGTTATTTTTAGAACGTAACTACCGCGATAAACGAGGGACCGCTGCATACCAAAAGGAAATGGAGTTGGTCCGGTCAGATCAGCTGTTCATGAAAGATTTTGTGTAACTAGTTCAGTCTAGTGGAAAAAACCTGTTAAGATCTTATTTTTAAAGCCAAAGCAGCTCACGTTGTGATTGTGATTCCATCATCAGTGGCACTTATTTCTCCTTGGCTCCGCTTTGAAAGCAGCTTATCAAAGACGTTATATTTGTGTGAATGTAATTGCCTGCTGTGGCATGTTAGAGCCTGCATTTACTCAAGCAAAATAACGTATTATTTTTAACGTTAAACCAAGATGGCTGCCAAGTGGTGAGACTGACTTGTAGAATTGAGTTTTATTATTTGAAGTTGATGTTTGTATGCATTTCAGGGACAGCTGTGAGCCATTTAATAATGCAAACGTTGAGCTGACAGAAAGGCGAGACTTTCTGCAGCCTGTAAGATGGCTGTTAACTTGTAGGACGGCACACAGGAGCAAGTTAATACACAAGACTGCAACACTTGCGTTAGTTTCTAGTAGGGCTGTGCGATATGACCAAAATCTCATCCTGATACAAGACATTTATCGTCCTGACAACGATATAAATCACAAAAATGTAACATTTTCTGTAACTTCTGTGAATCTCGGGCAGCTCGACTTGTGTTTAGTGTTTCCAGCTGGGCGTCCTTTACCTGGACTCGAGTGTTTTAACCGATGCATGAAACGATACATTTTTAGACATAAGTTGTAACAGACGCCGTTTTCTCTCAAAGTTTGAGTCTAAGCTTTATTTTTTTAGCACCTGACGGCTCTTTTTTGCTTCTCATCCGTAAACTCTCTGCATACTCTTTGATGTGATTCAGTTTATTTTGAAAAGTCTCAACAGGATCTTGAGCTTTATTGTGAAAGGGTTACATGGAAAACAAACAAGTGGAGAGCAGAGCCACGCGATGGTTTTACCGTAAAACACATAAAAACAGGCGCTTGTCCGTCCGTAGTGTGGTTACATTAAATATAAGAGAAAGAGAGAACTGTAAGAAATTAATATAGCCACTACAGTGACCATCAAAACCATGAAAAATATTGCTTTAAACTGTTTGTTTTACGACACCACGAAACAAACGATGGTGTAAAATGAAACGACAGACGTTTTTATATCGTCATCCGATATATGTGGTTATATCGAACAGCCCTAGTTTCTAGTATGACCGTGCAGCTGGACACCATTCTGGTCAGATTCCTGGTGACTTCCCACACTGGTTGAAGTTGGAGCTGTTTGGAAGCAGCTCTTAGGCTTAGTTCAAACAGCTGTGTGAAACCTGAAGTAATTTAAAGCATGGTGTCACAGCAATATTGACTTGCCCTCGATGCTGGTGTACATTTCTTCTGCTTTCTCTCAGACGTTTGATGAAGCGGCGCTGTGCGAGTCCCTAAAGAGAAACGTCAGCAAGTCTGGTTATGTGAAGCCCACCCCTGTGCAGAAGCACGGGATCCCCATCATTTCTGCTGGCAGGGATCTCATGGCCTGCGCCCAGACTGGGTCTGGTAAAACGGTACGGTTTGGTTGAACCTGGGTGTAGACCTGCGCGTGGACAATGGTTAAATGTGGTCTCCCTCCACCAGGCTGCCTTCCTGCTACCAATCCTTCAACAGCTGATGGCAGATGGCGCGGCGGCCAGTTGCTTCAGTGAGACGCAGGAGCCTGAAGCCATCATTGTGGCGCCAACTAGGGAGCTCATCAACCAGATTTACCTGGAGGCCAGGAAGTTTGCATATGGGTGCGTTTCTTTGTCAAAGAATAACTGAACTCCACCAACATGTAGATAGAAGGTAAATCAAGATGTTTGTCTCCACTCTTCAGCACATGTGTGCGACCTGTTGTAGTGTATGGTGGAGTCAGCACTGGACACCAAATGAGAGACCTCTCCAGGGGCTGCAATGTGTTGTGTGGAACACCAGGACGCCTGCTGGACATGATTGGAAGAGGAAAGGTAAGGCCGTTAAAGGTACCATCGATTGGATGACAAAATTGTGCAGCGCTTTAAGATGCTAATAAATATGTTCCAGGTTGGCTTGACCAAAGTGCGTTACTTGGTGCTGGATGAGGCTGACCGCATGTTGGATATGGGCTTTGAGCCTGACATGCGCCGCCTGGTGGGCTCTCCTGGGATGCCATCGAAAGAGAACCGTCAGACTCTGATGTTCAGCGCTACTTTCCCCGAGGACATCCAGAGGTCTGCTGCCAGTTTGTACTCCTGACATACAACCAGGTCTGAATGCCTGCCAGCTCATCTCAGTGTGCGTGTGTGTGTGTGTGTGTGTGTGTGTGTGTGTGATTATAGGCTGGCAGCTGACTTTCTAAAGACTGACTATTTGTTCTTGGCCGTGGGAATTGTGGGCGGAGCCTGCAGTGATGTGGAGCAGACATTTGTGCAGGTCACCAAGTTCGCTAAGAGGGAGCAGCTTTTAGACCTCCTGAAATCAACAGGTATTTCAAGCTTCTGGGTTTCCAGTGTTGAGAAGAACTAAAGGTCAAAACAAACGAAAGCTCAGCGTAACCGAACTGTGTGTTGTGGGTTTGTGTGCAGGATCGGAGCGCACCATGGTGTTTGTAGAGACCAAGAGACAGGCGGATTTTATTGCTGTAATCTTGTGTCAGGAGAAGTTTCCAACTACCAGCATTCACGGGTAAGTGGTGTTTGTGTGTTTACTGTGGCGTTCATGAAGATGGTTGTCCTTTGTGTGACGTACTCACACATGCACTGATAACACAGTTCCACCCCCACACGTGCCTCTGTAAACTAACACTGTGCTATACTTAATTTTGTGCAATAACCCAAACTGTAAATAAACTGTGTATATATGTATATACACACAGTTTTCTTTTTCTAAATACTGTTCATAGGGGTGGGCGATATAAACGATATAAATTTGGCCAACGATAGAGATTTTGACTATATCGCTCTATCGCGATAGCGCATGTTGATGATGTCATCAAGCTGACTGAAGTTTGGCCCGTTTACAGCATCCTGCTATGCGATAGCATTTGTCCCTGACCACCAGAATCCTTCACGTTAACTTTTATCGAGTGAAAAAAAGTTGGCGTTCATCCTCCAGCTTCACTGTGCTAATGTTATGCTAACATAGCTGTGTCGCTAGCAATCACGTAGCACAACATTATAT